TTTCTGTAGAGCATGACGAGAAGGCACGCAAATATTTTGGCTTCCACTTTCAGTACTTTCTGTTACAATTTATTCTATATTTTGATAAGTCTTTCGTGACTCTAATGAAAAGTAGACATAGATATAGAAGAAATACTCTGAAGCTAGAACTTTATTTTTGTACGCATTGTTTTCGAAATCATGAGCATTGTCTTTGCAATTTTAGTTGCTGGGCTTTGATGTGTATGCTTGTGCTTTTCAGTTACGAAAAGTCTACTCAAAGGAGTTCTGAATTTATCGTCATAAGTTAAAAGATTTTTTTGCAAAATTCTCTATTCGAATGTGTCCATTTTTCAACTTTGAGTGCCTTCATTTTTCTACCAAGATTTTTCCAAAACAGTAAGTTTAAACCAGCGAGTCCAGTCATGACATCAAGAATAAAAATGTATGTACTCGTATATATACAATACGTATATTTACTCTTACTGCACTTTTCAAATCTTAAATTTTTCGTATTATATGACTTATGACTCATTGTTCTTATGTCTTTCATACAAATATTTTCTGTAGAATTAATACCATTTCCTTATTTACTCCTCACTAAACGCCATCTGACCAAATTTATAACTTTTTCAATACAATTACAATTAATGCTTCCGAAAAGATTTTTACGCTCGACATTCTTTAAAAAAAAAAATATTACGACTTTGTGACTCAAATAAAGTATACACTTAGGCGCATTAACCCAGTTTAGCACATTTCGCTGAAAACAGTGTAGAAAACAGAAAAGCGAACAATTAGCGCGAAATCTAAACAAAACCATGATATAATTACAGCTTTTTAAAGCGGAGTAATAATAAAAAAACCAGTTGTGCACACAAATTAGTAAGCAAACATAGCCAAGACAAAAACACTTAAAGGCAAAGTGAGAATTCTTTACATGCAAAATTGCTGGTTAAGAACAAACAATGTTTGGTTGTGTGTACATGAGCATTAAAAGTCAATTCCTAAGAAACACTTTCAGCACAATATCTTTTTAATGAATTGCAGTGGCGTCTTTTGGGTGTTGTGGCGCCGTCAAAGTAATGAATGAGCGCAAATTAAGAAACAAGTGTCACGATAAATGACTGAAAAATATATACCCATGTTAAGTGTTTGTTTTTAGATGTGGGAAAGAGGTTTTTTTTACAAATGTTTCTATCTGATTATTAGTTGATGTAAAATTATTAACAACAAAGCATCAAATTATGAATGGAATTAAGAAAACATAGAAGTAGAAAACAGCTATAATATCTTTTAGGGCATTTCTTACAGCATAAAAGTTTATAAAAAATCTTTAACTTGATTTTCATTGGTCGGTTTGTATGGCCGCTATATGCTGTAGTAGTTCGATCTGAACTATTTCTTCGGTGATTGTATCGTTGCTGTAGAGAATGATTCATGCCGAATTTTTTGAAGATATCTTGTGAAATAAATAAGTTGTTCATACAAGGAGTTGGTTTTGAATGTTCAGTTATATGGCAGTTTTGTGCTATAGTAGTCCGATATCGACTTTTCCGACAAATAGGCAGCCTCTTAGTGAGAAAAGCACATGTGCAAAATATCAGATCGATATCTCAAAAAGTAAGGGACTAGTTCGGGTATATACATGTATCCCTGGCAAACTCCCTTCAGGGTATAAAAATCATATTTTTAGTTGCAGAGTAATCTCATTTAAATTAAGTAGGATGTTTTTACAGAATTTTAAATTAATTTATAATTATAAAGTTCTAATCAACCTTTTGGCGGGAGTAGGGTTTATTGGTGTAAAACAAGGCTAATTTTTATGATTTCTTTCTGATGAAACAGTTAAAATTTTCTTTAAATGGTAAATGCAGAAATATTTAAAAATGCGGCAATGGCAATAATTCCTCCTTCTTAACTCGGTGCTGGATGTTGTTTTGCTTTAATCGTTTTAAAATTTTGACACAATCTTTTTGAGATAATATTTCATTTAAGACAAAGGAAACCGAAAAATATTCAAAACGTTACTCTTCGCTTAAGCTCTCGGTTAAACTTTTCTCAGAAAATTTGTATATGTTTCGTCATGAATATTTTTGAATAGTTGAATAGGTAATCTGTGTTCCAAAATTATGAACACTTAAAATACTCCAAAAAATTAAACTGACTTTGATAAATTATCCTACAGCCTTCAAGATCTGGGGTTTTACATTATAACCTATACATAAATCATATATATTTCAAATCATTTTTTATAAACACATTATTCCACAGTCCCATCTGCTCCTTATACCGCTAAGAAATTAAAAAAGACTTCAAAGCATTCTCCACCAATTGTATTAAACATTTTATTTATTTGCTCATACTAACAAAGGATTTTTATTGCTGTGTAACTGACACGCACGCACTTTTAGCACAGCCAACAGGCAAACGTGTGCCTTTGAAACATTGCGTAGTCTACAGTATGTTATGCGCATAAAAGTCGTGTATATGAAAAATATTGCACATACTCAAAGCAAAATATTTTTGCTCCGACTGATTTATAAGCTCGTTTCGCATAGTAAGTCATACATAGCACGTTTATATATTGCCCGCATTTTGAAGTTAGCTCCAACCACATGTTTTGGTTGTATGCGCCCCGAAGTATGAGCAACTTTTATGCTGGCATTGCGTGTTTTATTTTCTGCTGCAAAATATGTGACAAAATGGTATGTGGGGTGATAAAAACACCTGAAATGTGTTTCAAAAGTCAAATTGTGCTGTTAAGCAAAACACCTGTGCAATTTTTTTACGCTAATTTTTTTTTTTTTTTTTGTAACTTTTTTTACTGCCTTACCACACAAATGCTAGAGCTACTATTTATAGTTAAATTTTAGAATTTTTGTGTACCCGGTTATGAGTTTAAAATCTTGCCATTTGAAGTAAAAGCGCAACTATGCGTTCTTTAGTGCTTTATTTTATCAAGTATTTCCTATGTTAGAGTTACCACTGCGTATGAGTAACCCGGATTGCATTAAATTTTTATTATGTCTTAAACACGTTATATTTAGTTTGTAACACCCAGCAGGAAACGTCTGAGAGCTTATAAAGTGTATATACAAATATTAGGCGTGACGAGTCATGATCACCTATATGTATGTCTGTCTGTATATACGCGAACTAGTTTCTTATTTTTTGCGATATCGATCTAAAATTTTGCGCACAACCTTTTCTCTTCAAACAGCTGCTCATTTGTCGAAACCGCTGATATCCGAGCACTATAGCATATAGCTGCCCTATAAACTGAATGATCGGAATCAAGTGCTTGTATGGCAAACTTTTTTCTTTGTCAATTTATCTTCACGAAATTTGGCACAGATTATTGTATGAGACATTGCTACAATTTCCAAACATATCATTCTGATCGGATCATTATAGGATATAGCTGCAATAAAAAAAAATCAAGATAAGGATCTTTTTATAGCCTTTGAGGCTTATTAAAATAAATTAACATTATATTAAATATTTGTCATCCCCACATTTTTTTTGCAAAAAATATTCAAATATACAGTTGAGATCTAATTTTGGGATAAAGCTAAAATCCAAAATTTACTGAAGTATTATTAGAAAAATCTTAGTATCGTATAGTCGAAAACTGCCGCTAAAATGTTTTTGTTGTCACTTTTAATGTAACACCTTTGACATTCTCAAATTAATATTAATAATTGTGAATTCACTCAGAACAATAAGAAGTAAATTTACCGTTTTGCACATTTTTATTACAAAACCGAGTACTTGCTTCCCACAACTAAAAATGCAATACTTGCTTTCGATTCATCATTAATCTCGATTAGCTTTAATTGCGTAATGCCATTTAATGCGTGCTGAAAAGCCATTGCCAGCGATTTGTTTCGCATTTCCTTTACGCAGCGAATTGTGTAATCGACCTTGATTATTTGGCAGGCTGGCTTACTGAGTCAATGGCCTACAGACTTTAACTAACTAGCCGCTGCAATTGTTGTTCGGTACTATTTTTCCTTTCATACAAATGTGTGCCACTCTTTCCACTTGTAGTTTACTTCTATTTGTCTACGGTTTCACACCAACATAGATTCAAAAACGGGAAAACATTTAACCAATTTATCACAATCATTTATCAATGTAATCATCGCTTAAGTAACCTATGATTTAATGTGAATCGATTCTGTGTGCTTTTAAATTTGATCAACGATGTATTTTGAAGCACTTAAGCGTTGACTTGTACCTGACCAGCATAATTTCTGAAGACCCCATTTAGCCATTATATTGCCTAAAAATTTATTTTCAAAAAATTAAACAAAAAAAAAATTATAATAATAACAATATTTGGAACTTTTACTCATAATTCCATTATATATTTGGAATGTATGACATAACAATATTCAGAACACTTCCACTTAAGCGTTCCCTATGCTCGAAAATATATAAGCAATTAGTAGGACTATCAGTTATGCTTTTTCCAACTCGAAAATACATTTTTAGGCGAAATATAAATTAGTATTTATTATACAGCAATATCCGCGCCTAAATGTAGGCAATATTTTGACTAAGTATATAAAACCTTGTCTACATTTAGGAGTCCTTAAACGTTTGTTTAAAAACTTAGTGAGTAATAGACGGTAATTAAAGAAAGATGAATAATTTTGAATATAAAATTTAATGGCATACAAAATTTTAAATATTAGTATGTTTTGATGACGTAAATTTATATATGCTAGTTTTAGCTATATCTCAGCTAGTTTTGGCTATAGCTCAGAGAATTGTAGGAAAAAATAATCGGCATAAGCCTATTCTATATATAATGGGATGGAATGAAAACTAAAATGAATAGGTATTAAAAAATATAACCCTGAAACCAATTCAAGACTGACTGCATAAAAATATAACAATTATAATAACAAAATTTTTTTTATGAAAAAAAAAATGGCATAATGAACTCAATAAAAAACTATTAAGCACCGACATGCAATAGTACTTGTATAAATACATTTTGCTCTTTCCAGATCTTCGACATTATGTGGAGCGACCCTCAGATCACCGATGGCTGTAAGCCGAATGCATTACGTGGCGCTGGCACTTATTTCGGTCCCGATGTAACCAAACAATTCCTAACAAAATATAAATTAAAATTCCTTGTGCGATCACATGAATGTAAACCGGATGGACATGAGTTCACACACAATAAACAGGTAAAAAAAAATATTTGGCCTGATTGAAATAAAAGAAAAAAAGGTAAAAATACTTGATGAAAGAGATTTTATAGGAATATTAAGGTTTTAAAATATTGCTTAGCTTCAGAGACATAAAATACTTTATGGTCCGCTTGGAAATTATTATTTCAGAACTTTAAACTTTCAAGTTATTGTCTTGATCCTAAAGTGACGCTGAAACGGTTGATAAGTATAAGTATACAATCCAGTACACTTTAAATTAATCTTTTCAGTGATTGTATAGAACAAAATTGTGGACTTAGACTTAGACTATATTCTTATTTAAACATTTGAAATAATAGTAATTTAAAATAAAATTTAATTTTTTTTTTTTAATATTTAAAATATGTTAAATTGTTTTGAAGCTTTTGACGAATTAAATATTAAGTTTCTGTAGATTAGAAGTTGGAATAAAGGTCAACGCAATATACAAAGCTTATAGAAGAATTATTTTCGAAATTTCTCATATGATTTTAACATGAAAAGCAAATTGTTTCATTTTCATAACCATTTTTATGTATGTCTTTGACAAACTTTTTACCAAAGCGCCAAAATATACACCACGTTTTCTGCTTAATAATTATAATCTTAAAACGATCAGTAACACTATTATATATGGCCATTGTCTAAAATCAATACAAATATTTTTTAAAGTTAAAAATGAATTTTTTTATTATTCGAAATATTAGGTGATCACAATATTTTCGGCATCCAATTACTATGCCGTTGGCTCAAACAAGGGTGCCTACCTTAAGTTCGGCCCTCAATTGGACACACAATTTGTGCAATATATCTCAGCGGCATCGAAGACATCAAGACTATCATTCCAACAACGTATAAGCATTGTCGAGAGCTCGGCGTTACGTGAACTGGGTGCGCGTTTACGTGACCGACGTGAAATGCTCGAACAGGAGTTTTCGAAATTGGATCCAAAACACACTGGTAAACAAAAAGTGCTGCAATAAAAAAACAAAATCGATTACAATATACTATAAATACTTTTCAGGCGGCGTAACAGTCGCACAGTGGTCAGACACAATGGAGCGTGTGATGCAGATGTCTCTGCCATGGCGTTTGATGCGCGACAGATTAGCACCGCCATTTTCTCCCGACGAACCAAATATTGTTAACTATCTGCTGACCTTGGAGTTGCTGGAAACAGATGTTATAGTAAGTGTAGATAGTTGAAAAATTTTGAAAAAGTTCTATATTATATTAAAAAAAAAAAAAAAAAAATTACCATTTTCAGATAGAGGAAGCAGAGGCTTCTACGAGTGTCACCGATGCGCTGTACAAAAATAAAAGCAGCCTGGAAGCAATATTTCACATACTGGATAAAGATCATTCGGGTGAGTATGAAAAAATACTAAAAAAAATAAATTTTACTTAAAAAAATTACAGAAAATTAAATTTTACTTAAAAGAGAAAATTCTTAAATTTATTTCGTGTTCTCTCTAATATGCCTAGGTCAAATATCATTGGATGAATTTGGTGATGCCGTGGATTTGCTACGGAAATATATGCCATCGGCTGGTTCGAAAAGAGAACTAATGAATATGTGTCAAATGATGGACATAAATAAAGACGGTTTTGTGGATCTCAACGAGTTTTTAGAGGCATTCCGTCTCTGCGATCAAGCACGCAAAGCTCCACAACCCACAAAATCCAAAGTGTCACGACGTAAGTCAAGTCTGTTTATTTGATATTTCGAAAAGTTAACTTTATTTATAGAAACTAAAATTATTAGTTATTACTATTTTTTTTGGCTAAAATTTCGTAGTAAATAGTCAGGAGTTCGTTAAATCAATATTTGTATAACCAAAAGCGGAAGATTTTCTTCATATTCTAAATATTTCGTGCAGAGTTTTAAATTACGTATGGGTTTTAAGAAAATTGTTGAAAAGTATATCGTTGATTTTCTACTCATCATTTACGCTTGAGCTTTAAAAGTACTCAGTTTAATGAATCTCTTAGTACAGAGTCATATGATTATTCTAGCTAACTGCGAGGAATTTGTAAATCAGTGAGCTCTTACTTAAACCTGATACTTGCTTATGCGGAAAAAGTCACTATATATACGCTAATATCAAGTGTGTGCGAGGATACATTAAACGAAACTTAAAAGAAAACCTGGAGAGTGTGTCCAATGCATACCAAAGCTATGGCAGAGAGCGCTTTTTCTACTCGCTCCTCAACCGCGAATGTGAAGCGACTCTCATATTATATTTCAAAGCTTGCACAATTATTTTGGAGCATACGTTTTCTTACTACAATAAAAAACAACTGGACCGTCTACTCTCTTTATTTATAGTGGTGTTATTTTACCAAAGATACGAAAGGTTTTATGCCTCTTCTTTTTTGGAACAATAATGTATGAGCTCATTTGAATATTATACAAAAATATATTATATTATAAATACTTGCCAAATTTTTTAGTTCATTCATAGTAGTTGATTTGCCTAAACTTTGAAAACGGTAAATCGAACGAACAACCGGTAAAAATTATTTAGGTTAGCGTGAATAAATTCTTATGGCATTACCGTCATGCTCTCTTTTTTGTGCTCTCAGATTTTTTTTTCAAAACCATACATTTCTCTCCAAACTGTTCTCAAATTTTTATTGACGTTATATATCTCTTTCTCTATTTGCAGCTTCGGATTCATTGCGCGTTGCCGAACTCGCCGAACAACTTTCTTTACAGAAATTCAACGATGTCGAAAGTGATATCGATCCGCGAGATCACGTGTCAGTGATACTGAACGAAAAACCCAAAATATAAATACAGTGTGAGTGACACACATACACATTACTATATTTGAGTACTCAAAAGTGTAGATTCTAAGCGTAGAGGAACGAACAACCATAAAAGTTGTAGACACTTAAAAATAACAAATAAATTAAAAGTATAATTTGTATATAATCGAAAAAACTAGTATGAATTAATTAATTATTAATTTTATTTAATATGAAATGTTAATACCTAAGCTATTTCTATTTGTATAAATACTTTTTTTAAGCACCAACCAATTTATTTCTCACACATACACATTTTTACGTTATGTAAATTGTGTAAATAAGGCGCGATATATTTATGCATTAATACCGTTATAGAATATTATATAGATTTACTTAGCTTACTTATACTTACCTATCTTCAACGAATGTTTTCCGCTTCACGAACTAAATTCTTACTCCGTCCAAACAACACTAACTATTTCTAAGTGTTTTCAATAATTTATTTGCTTGAAAATAAAATAATTAAATTATATAAGATAAATATATTGTATGGATTCATAACTTTTAAAAAGTAGCTTTTTGAATATTTGAAAAAAAATTAATTTTAATTTTTGTGTTTCTAAAATAACATTTAGATACTCATTTATTATATAGTGGAATATTGGAAATATTAATTTGTAGTAATATTTATATTAAATTAATATAAATTTGATAATGGTAATTTTTAGATTAAAAACCCATGACCAACTTAATTAGTATCATCGAAAATATAATATAATATAAAAAAAACCATCAAAATAATACTTAAGAATATAACAAAAAAAAAAAACAGAAACAATTAAAGCGCAACTCTCAATTACAATTTCTAAATGCCTTTATTTAATGAGATCTTAACTGTACGAAGCCCTAAATTTTAATTCTGTACTAATATTTTAGATCGCTAGATAAAAAAAAAGTATTTAAATATGCGAAAAATATAAATAGATAGGTGAAAATTTGTTACCAAATGCATGCTGAGTTATTCAAACATAATTTGCAAAATTTTTAGTTAGTATTTAATTCTAAAGTTCCTGTGCATATTTCTAGTCCCTAAAATTAATTACAATACTTATTAAGTTATTTTCACAAGAACAAGTAAAAATTAACTATTCTTCCTAAAAAAATATAGTTTAATTTTAAGCCTCCACGAGCGTTGTCATGTATATCTCGAGATTAGCGTACAAAAACAAATAATAATTATCGAAAATCGCTTAAATGTTTTTCAAAATATTCTCCATTCAGATCTATACACTTTTGCCTGTGTTAAAATCAATTGTTGTAGCATTTTTGTCACTCTGATTGAGGTATCTCTAAAACATGCGTTTTGAATGCATCAACCGCCTCTTCAGGTGTCGAAAAACATTGACCTCTTAGTTTATTTTTTATGTACGGGAACAAAAAGAAGTTCGGTGCCAAGTCAAGACTATACGGTCAATGATACATCAAAGCGATGTTTTGAGTGTTCAAAAATGCAGTTGTTTCAGTCGTTGTGCGCAAGCTCGCATTGTCGTGGTGTAGAATGATCCGTCTTCGGCGGTTGGTTTTCCTGTTGTTATGAAAGACAACTGGCAAACACATGGTATAGTTGTGTAGTTGTGTAGCACTCAGAATTTACTGTTCTGCGTTGTTCTAGTGGTATAGCAGGCAACCATTTGCTTGGAAGTGCTTCGTGCGCGAACAACTTTTGCTTAATTCGGCTCAACTGTAAACACCCATACAGTCGAGTGCTGTTTTCTTTCGTGTTCATACGCATAAAACCACCATTCGTCAAACTCGAAAAGCTTGACATTAATAGATTATTATATAAAATTATTAAAAATCATAAATTCAATAAAAATATTTTTTTTTAATTTGCTTGAACGCTACTAATTTACATAGCTTCAAAAATATATATTTTTTTATTAAAACTCTCAATAATAATTATTTTCAATTTTTCTTTTAAAACAATCATTTTAAATATATTTGAATCAATTTTTTTATCTTTTATTTTAATTAAATTTTACAAAACAAAATAGTTATTGCAATATAAAATCTACTAAAGTAAAATAATAAAACCAAACTCGAAAAGCTTTAAACTAAATAAAACACTGACTAAAAAATAAATAAAAATTTATTTCAAAAATATATAAATGGTTTTCGATTCTACTAACTTTGCATAGCTTTAAGTATAACTATGTACATGTGTACATATAAATACATGAAATTGCATAAAAATTATATGATATATAAAATATATATTATTAAGTTGTAAAAAAAAGTACTTTTATAAAAATTTTGCGGTTATAATATAACCCTTTTGTATGTATGTATTTTCGGCACCCTTTTTTGATTAGCTAACATAAAATATTGGTCTTCGTAATATAAACAATTTTTAACGGCAAATAATTAATAATCAAAGAATTTAAGCATTTAAGCTACTGCACATTTTTATATACAAAATTTAGTGAATGAAATAGAGAAAAATATAAATATTTCTTAGCAATGCAGAATTGCACTAGGCTAAGGTACTATTGAACGTAACTAAATATAAATGGCAAAAAAATTAATTAATAAAATGAGGCTTGGATTAGCGAAGTGTGTGGTTAGGCTAGAAATTTGTGAGTAGCTTGAAATGGTAAGAAGGCTTTAATAGCGTAATACGCCACTACAGGTGGTGCAGTAGGCGTCAGCGAAAGCTAAATAAGAAATTAAATAGATTGCATAACGGAAAAAATCAAACAAAAATAGTTTCGGTGAATAGAAAAAAAAATAATTATAGAAAGTGTATGGAAAAAAAATAAAAATTATTACGATAAATAAAACTTAATACAAATATATAATTTATTAAATAAATATAATTTATCAAAAACCTAAATAAAAAAATTAAATATTATTAAAAATATATAATTTATTAAATAAATATAATTTATCAAAAAACTAAATAAAAAAATTAAATATTATTAGAAAATAAAAATTATGAAAAAAAATTAAATTGCATTAAAAATCATTAAAAAATAAAAATGATAAAATATAATAATATATTTGATAGAATAATTATTAAATGTGTATGGAAAAAATTACAAAAGAATAAAATGATTAAAAAAATTTAAAAAAGAATATATATTTAGTAATTAATAACTTTATTAAAATCTTTATATGTTTGCTTTACAAATGTGTTAAAGATTTTCGTGAATATTATTTAAAGCAATCACAAAAAAAAAAAACTTTGCCATCAAATAATTTTTAAATAATACAGCGTTAATTAAGCAGTATGCACATTATTATAAAACAAACTTAAATGCATATAAAAACATATAAAAATATATTTAAATATACAGAACAGGAAATAACATTCCCAAAGTTATGTTAAAAAAATAATAATAGTTTAAAATTTTTTGTGAATACCTAAAAGCCTCTATGAAAATCAATCAAATAAATTTATTAGTAAGTATTTATATGTCATTTAGCAAATTAAAACTATTTAGCAAAGCTATTTGTTTACAAATAAAGTAAATAAATGTTAGTTAAATCAATTATATTAAAAAAAAAACTATCTAGATGTGCATTTTGTATTCGCGCGTTCTCTATTTATATAAAGATTAAACAAACCACTAAAAACAACAAAAGACGAATGTCAGTTTTGTAATATCATATTATGTACCATAAAGCTGCATAAAATATATTTTCTAGCCAAATATATAAAAATATGTATTTATATATTAAAAAAAACTTTTCCAACCAAAAATATATGAATACTTTTAAAACACCATAAAATATTTACTAAACACTTTGTAAAAACACTTTCCTCAAAACTCTCACCGCCTCAAAACCTCCAATAAAACACCACTTCCTGATGTAATATATATTAAAGCATAAGATTTGAGCTATTAAAAAATCATCAAAAAATAGAAACCATTAAATAAAATAAAATGTTAAAGAAATTTAATTAAAAACATTGTAATCAAAGTGTTTCATTTAATTTTTTAGCGGAAAATCAATTTATTCTAAAAATGTTCTATAGCATTTAACGAAGAAATAATAATGTTTTGTACTGCTCATATTTCGTGACACTACTGCAGTGTGCGACACACTTCTTAACCACAAACGGCGCTAATGAAACCTCACGTAAGTAACAGGCGCGCAGCAAGCAGACGAAGGCGACTGCCCAATTGTCATTTTCCTACCTCTTAGCATATTCATGCTTATGTTCCACAACACAATAACAAATATCAAGACAGCTGCATTTCATTGTGACAAAACCACAGTATGCATTTGCTTTAAATATATTCGTGCTGTTTCTGAACTCCTATCACATTTCGCTAGTCAGCAACCGCACTGCATTTCGGAATTTTTTAATTCCCCAAATATCGTTAGAGCATACAAGTAAAATAAAAAAAAAATTCTGTCAACTCTAAGCCAAATTCTGCTAAAATATCAGGCGCTCAGTAAGCAGCTGAGAGCAACCGTGCAAAAGTCAGCAAACGTCATTCCTCTCTCTTTTCTCATGTTGCCACATACTTAACTACGTTCCAGTAGCACATATCAATCAACCAATCACAGCTACATTCCATTCTAATAAAAAGGCACAGAATATACTTTTCGCAAAGGTCCGCTTGCTGTCTCTGTTTGCCTAGTAGAATTGCTCAAACCAAACGTCATTGATGTACTCAAAACAAAAAAATATACGCTCCCGAAGTACTAGGCACGCAGCGAGCAAGCAGATGTGAACATGCGAAAGTAATTTTGGTTTTTGTTACTTCACTTATGCTTTCACACCTAACAAGCTACATATATTCAACAACACACTAATCCATCCATCCATCAACCAATCAAAACTGCATCTGATGTGCCAAAAATGCAGTCAGGTACCATTTTTGGTTGGTGCCTGCTTGCTGCTTCTGAACTCCTAGTTATTCCAACAAAGTTTTTCTCAAAATTATCACCATCTCGCAAGTAACAAACAACAACAGAATGACATACTTGATGACAGACAGATGAAATTTCATATTGTATAATATTACTGACTAAATATTAGGTGCTCAGAATTCATAGAACAACCCATACGTATCAAAAATATACATTAGTTTACCATACATATCCTTCGCAACAAATCTTAAATTGCATTACGGAATAATGGTAATTTACCTGGAGCACAGAAAGCATATGAAAAAGTAAAGCAGAAAATGTAAGAAGAGCGCTTTGATCATGCTTATTTACATCCACCAATCTGCATGCGTCGTGTGGATGGGTATTCTGTAACAGAACTTTTCGCATACCGAAGTGTCAGAGTTACCGCGTAATCAATAATAATTAAATTGTTTTTCTTTATTGTGTAGTTATATATAATATTATATACAATATATAAATATTTTTTTTTATATATGAGTTTGGTTGGGCCTGTCGGTAAAGTGGTTGTAGTTGAACCAATTTAAATTTAAAATTAACCTTGGATTTATTAGAATAAATTTATTTAACTCTATGAAAGCTTTATTAGCACTATGTGGGCGATCGAAATTTTTATTCTCATTATTTTACCTTTTGATTCAAATAAAATATTGCGTTTATTCACGACATTTTCGCAGAGCTTTTTTTAAGGCACATAAATGCACCACTATGTACTAAAAAAAAGCTCTTAAAGCTTTTTAGGCGTTTACTTTACTTTCTAATATTAAATAACAAAACCAGCAAGCTTTCAGTAAAGCTCAAATTACTTTAGCATTAAAGCTCATTAAATCGTAGTGGCTCAGCAAGCTCTAAGACACTTTCAAAAGCTTGAAAGCTCTTTGGCTGCTATAACTTTTATACCAACTAATACTTAATACATAAAAAACTTCACGTTCGTATTTTATTTCATCAATAAATATTTATTCTGTATTTGTTATAGTATTCTGTATTGTAGTTATACATATTACTATTTATTTCTGTTGTCTTTTGGTATGTATGCGTATTTTTGAAAATTATTTACAACTTTTACGCTTAACTTGATAGGCATACAAATATATACCTTGGTGTAGTCTTAATAGCTATGAAATAAATATTTTATGCGGCTGCGGAAAGCAAACTCATTATGAGTAAAAATATATGACGTATATTGCAATCTGCTCAAAACTAATTGACTTAGTATTTGAGAAATAAAACAAATACGCTATACGCTAAAACATTACTAATACGAGTAGTTAGATTAATTTTATATTTTTATAGTAGTTAGTGATTTACAATAATTAACTTTTTTTCTGGTTTATGCTATATCAAAAGCTTTTTACAGTGTTTTTAAGACTAACTTAAATCATAAATTATTATTAAATAAAATTGACTAGAACTTTTTTTTACGTAGAGTTAGTGTATTTTTGTATAAATTAACTCAAAATAACAAGGCCGCTAATCTTTGTAGGTGAATTAATATAAATTTTAGGTAAACTTTTTTTTAAGTAATATTTATAAAACAATATATACTATATGAGAACATTCTTTAAAAGTTAGTTTTCTTTTTCAAATTTTTTTAACTAATCGAAAAAATAAAACAAAAATTAAGGATAGTCTTTTTATGCTCAAAGATTTGTTTTTGAATTTAAACTTTTAACTTTGCGAATAAATAGAAAAATTAATTAAGGAAGTTTTTTTTTGACAGATTTTTCTTTTCAATTCATTAAATTACTTTTGATTACCAAATAGTTAAATGCACATTAAGCGTAATGTTACTTTAAAATCTAACAAAATCCAATTCGCGCTAATTTTGAAACACATGCCATAATTTCCAATTGTTTATTAAAACAATTAATATTTCTTTTTTCCAAATACATATATTATATTAATCTTATAATTTTTGCGTTCTTTATCATTACTAAGTAGTGATTTATATTATTATTTTTAATGTATCTCTTTGCTGCTGCTTAATTCATTAAATTTTAATTTTATTAAAGTAATAATTTAGTTTCTTGCTTTTCAAGTACCTTTCTATTCTTAAATTTATTCATTTATTCATTACTTAATTTTTTTGAATTTGGTTTGCTGATATTTTGTAGAAGTCTACACCTAAGTGCGTATTTATCAACTAATTACTACTTTTCGTAGAGGACAAATAGGTACGAAGTAAGTGAGTACAGGCTTTAACAGATTTGTTTAGGTTATCTTTAATGTCTTTCAGAAACTTTAGCAAGAAAATTTGTGTGGCAGCGTAAAGTGGAGGCAATTTTATAAAGTGGAAAGACTGGAGTGATTTTTTAAAAACATGTAATTTTCTCAATTAAAATTAAAAATACATTTTTTTGTTAATTTGTATTTTTGGGAGCGTAAAGTCTTTGTCAGTTGAGCATATGAAAAAAAAGTTTATGTAAATAACAAAATTGATCATAATTAATTGAAGGCAACCCTGTTGGATATGTTCATTATTGTACATTTTGTCCAGCAAAGAGTGAGTGAGTGTGAATTAAGAGCGTAGCCGACATTTTATTATGGAGAAGTTGTTGGAAACAAACAACACCGAATGAATGCATTATTCTTTAAACACGTAGAATACTGCACGACACGACGTAGCGAAATTTCTTTGTCTTCAAATGGCGTCTTGAAGCCAACTTACAAATTATACCAGAATATATGAATTATGTGTTTTGAGAGAATAAAAGGACCAAGTCGAGCTAAGTGGAAATCCTGTTCATAGATATTATATTATACCTATATATGTATAAGTTTATACAATGAATTTTAATTTCAAATATTGATATACATTTTTAATACTTGTAAATTGTGCTAATTAGACTGAAGGGGCTAGGCCAGTCCAGAGTATTCAAAAAGGTCTAACTTTGATTATTTTGGGAGTAAGGAAATATTAATCGAATTTATTCTTTCATCCCATATTGATTAAGTATTTGAATGCATACAATTTGCTATACTTACATTGAACAAGGAATATTAAGTTTGCTACGATGTTTGTAACACCCCGAAGAAAACGTCAGAGACCCTATATTTTCGCAACAAGAAGCTACTCATTTGCCAGAGCTGCCATACCCACTGACCGATCAAACTCAAAACCTTGTACCGAAAAATTTTTTAATTGACAAGCTATCTTTGCGAAATTTAGCATAGATTATTATTCAAAGAATTGCTATAATATCCAAAAAATGTGTTCAGATTGTACAACTATAGCATATAGCTGCCATACAAACTGATCGAGGCAAATCAGAACAAAGATATTTTATTCCCTTTTTTGCTATCAAAAATTCACCTGGGTAGGTATTATAGCTTCGATTCAGTCGAAGTTAACATTCTCTCTTGTTTTTGATATAAAAAGACGGCTACTGAAGTAAACTTGCACGAAGAAATAATTCAAAATACGGCAATAGCAGCAATTATTCTATAGTGTTTTTGGAAATTCAAATTTTTAAAAAATTATTTTTAATTTTTTAAAAATCTGAAGTAAAAAAACTAGGTTTTTGGCCAAAAAAATCAACTAATATGTTGCTGAAAAATAAAAATAATTTGAAAATAGCTCTCCGGTGTATATGGAAAAAATCTTATAAATTATATATAGAAAAAGTGCTCAAAATTTCAAACGGTCGTACGAAGACAAATGGCGGACTTGTAAAACAAAGTAAACTTTGTTACCAAAAAATGCTTATAAAAAAAAGGTGAAAAGCTGAAACAGAGTGAACTGGGCATTACCACTTGCAGTGTCCGATTGGATTATGCATTTTTTCTCAATATTTTACTAAAATAATATTTTAAGTTTACTTTAAGCCAAAATAAAATGACAGTTTTGAAAATCATAAACTGGTCTAACCGCTCAAGGACGCTTGTAAGTCTAACGAACGATATGTTTGCTCACAATTTCTTAATATTAATAACCTCAATTTAAGCGCAGACTTTCTACCTACAAGCTAGTTGCAAACTTTGCCTCCACTTCAACGCAAGCCATTTCGATTTCAATAAACTTGGCAGACATTTAATAGCTACTATAGATATTAGTTGTAATATGTACGTTTGTATGCATATGTATGTATGTAAACATTTTTGGTCACAAGGTATTTAAATACGATCAGTGTAATTACTTAGAAAACGCCTTTGTTGCACATACTTGAAACTGTTATTTCTCTGTTTTTTTTTTTTTTTTTAACCTACACGTCTACACTTTAATAATTACCGTCATCATATGTATTTACATGGTAAGGGAAACGAAACAGATACCCATAATTAGTAATCAATGGAACAATCGTCAGCTAATTTTCAGCGCTTCCCCTAAGTAGTATTATGTCATAATAATTTACGCTTACCAATTATATAATATATATGTATGTATATGTATGTGTTGATGTATGCATGCATTATCAAGTAGGTTTGTCTGTTTTCATGAGTTATCCTCAAATCATTGTGAGCTCAGCTCTTGCGCGCTCAAGCGCCACCACAAAATAATTCCAATTACTTATTACTCATACATTCGTTTCGATGCGATACGAGCTTGGCTCTTTGACTAGACCGCGTTTCTCCAATATTGCACTGTCGGCGCTGACGCGCTTTAATTTGGCCGCCACCGTTGATGAGTGTTGCATGCGCGCCTTGATTGAGGACACCGTTTTCGGCTTCACCTGCTCATATTTGCTGCACTTTTGCTTCGACACATCGTGATCGCTTTCGCTTTCATCGGCGAATTGTATGTCATCTAAGCCGAGTAGGCCCTCACTTAACTCTGGTGATGTTTGCTTCTCGACCAAAGTTTCTTTTTCTACATAGGAGCCCGTCATAGACTCGGTCATCGAGTCGGTGATGGAATTGACCAATACAGCGGGTATTTCGGGAGAGCCACGTGGTGTTGCATGCGCCGACATGACATCCTCCGCTTCCACCGATGCTGTCGGTGATTTGCGTATATTACGTGCGGATTTAGTGCTGCACAACTGTTGCATTTGTATGACAACATCACGTGCACCGCTGCGTAGTGAGGAGGTGGAACGTGATTGCTGCTTGGCATGGCGACGTTGTTTGCGCGAAAAGTAGGGTGTGGGTTGTTTGATGCCGGCGCTTGTGGATATGTTTTGCTGCAGCAGTGTATTCTTCAGATTCATTTCGGCTGTTGGCGAGGAAGCTTTCGAATGCAGTTCACTGCTGAGTGGTGAGAGCTCGTCGGATGAGGGTGTTGTATTGCTGTTAGTGTTAGCGCTCGACTCTGTGTTGCTGCGCGCGCTCAAATAATGTCCATAACGCGGCATTTTGATCTCCTCATAGAGCGGCTCAGTCTCGTCGGGCTCTTGCATTGGTTCGGGTGTTTTATCATCTTCATCACGCAAATCGGTTATCACCTCAAGCGGTGGCACCCAGATCAATTGCGCCGGATCCATGCCCAAATAGGAGCCCGGTGCTGCGCCGGCGTTTATCACATTGTAATCGTAGTAATCGAGCTCGAGCTCTTCTTGATTGCCCAGTGAAAATTCTGAACCGGGACGTGCAAGTAATTTTTTGCGATTTTGCTTCTCTTTGCTCTCCTTAGGATTGGTGGTACGTATGGTGGCTGTGCTGACGACGCTTGCAGCTGGTGAATAGCAGCCCTAAAATGTACCAATCAAATGAAAATAATTTCAATAAAAGTCTAAACCTGTTAAGCAACGCTAAAATGTAACCTTTAGCAGTCTAAACTCACATTTGTCAGCGATGCACTCGCACAACGTGACACGTATTCGCGTAGCGACGAACGCAATGAATCGCGATCGCTGAGCGTCGTTTGATCTAAGTGTTGTGCTGAATGTGGCATCAATGTACCCGAGGGACCATAACGGTTGAACCGACTGGAATGTCTGATAGGCGGACTAGCGCAAATTGAGCTCATGCCCGATGAAATGATCGACTCGGTGTCCTTACCGCTGTCCTTGCGTGTCAGCGTGCCACTAAAAATGCCGCTGGTCTCGCCGGCGGCCGTAGTGGAGCCCAAAGCCTCCTCTAATGAAGGCGAACAACTGATACCACTTACAGATTCAGGCGATTGTGAGATTTCATTGCGCAAAGTGACAACTGAGCTGTTACTGCCACGCTCTTCATCGCTGCAAGAAAGTATTATGCAAAATGAGTGAAGTCAGCGATAAGGGTTTGTAAAATATCTTGTAAGTTTCGATTCTACACTTTTTATGTGTTTTCTTCGGTCACTAGGCACACACACACACTCAGCCACACTTACCACTTTACCATGCGTGTCGTCGTTTTGGCATCCTCTTCTTCTTCGGGGTCATTGAATTCCGTTTCGTGTGCCAAATTCTCCGCATCGACGCTCTCCCGCAATATGGAGTGACGTAACTGATGTTTCGGACGCATCTTCACCAAATAGATGACCTCCGATAGCAGCGTGGTAGTCGAAATGGCGCGTGATGGCGGTCCTTGCAAGGAGCTCATGGAGGCGCGTGGTGTATGCAGGCGAGAGCCTTCATCACGACGACGCGCCACTGCCAAATGGTACTTGCGATAACGTACAACATATTGCGCACCTAAAAGTATGCAGTTAAGACAAAAAGTCGCATTTAAAAGCAAATAGCGATAAAAGTAAAGATTTTTATTTCCGAAAGGCTGAAAATCCGCAAAGCTGCGTACAAGCAGCGTCGAGAACAGCAGCTAGCCAGCCATGAGAGACTAAAATGTTAAAATAAAGGAAGGAAGCATTTGCCGCAGTACGATTTGCTAACAGCCCTCTAATGTTCGAGGCTTTCGTTTGCTATCTTGTAAAAGATATTTTTATAGGTGTATAAAACTGATCTGAAAAGCCACTAATAGCTGCCAAAGCCGCTGAAGCATTACCCAAATCCTACGAAAGCAAATCAAGTGGTAGAATAATCGAAAAATTTCTTGACAGCCAGTTAATGCGCGCAGCATGGCACAAATTATGTAGCGACGTTTGGCAGCGCGTAGTCTCGTAGGCGTACAAATACTTGTATAACGAAACATCCGTGAATTTATTGGCTATCAGCTTCGTTTATAGTACGAGCTTAAAAGCTTTGAAACCCGAGTCTTTATGCGAAAAAAATATGTAAATTATTAAATTTTGTTTTATCCAGTTACAGACCATGCTGTTTGACAGTGGGGCTAATTGAAAGAATTGTGGAATTAAACAAATTAATGTCAACCTCTACAAAATCAGCTGATCGTTGGAAATTTATGCCTAGTGAGATATAATTTCAGAAAACAAGTAGATAACTAGTGGATTGGTCACAAGGAAGTGCCATTTATGCAGTGTAAATATTAATCGAACTTGTAAGAGCTTCACTTAATGAGAACTTTCTGAAACAAGATTAGACTTGAAGAGCCTTTTTTAGAGGTGTTTACCAACCAATTGGTAATAATAAGAATATTTTCACTTGGACAGTTCGCAGTGTCAAAATCAGAGTGATAAAACAAAATGTGACAAACAGATGGCGCTAAATCAGAATCGCGCGGTGTCATTTTTGTGTGGCGAAATCTTGCTAAATCCAGTAGATTAGGGAGCTAATCTATTCAACAGCCTACAGTTTGTGATTAATTGTCGGCCGGAATATGGTGTAAGTATCGAAACAGCAAACATTGCGAGAATTTTATTTTTACTTTATTAAAAAATTTTTTTACATATTTTTCCCACTGTGTCACTGGTCTAAATACCCACATAACTATTTATACATTACAGAGAAATGTTTAACGTCCTTAAATATAATATGCATTTTGTATTTGTATTAATATGTATATATGGATGTATGGCTGTACGTCTTATTTTGCGGTCACACGCAATCCTTTCATTTTCCCCTTTTCAATTCTAAATTTGCTCACTTTTTCACTAGATACAAATATTCAACATTTTGGCTTGGCTTGCACTGAGAAAACACTTATTGCCATCCCCAACTTGCCGTCGCTGCGCCCGCATTCGTTTGTGGTTTTTTTACGGTACTTACCCAACAAGGCGCTGATCAAGATAATGATGCTGGCAAAGACCACCGCACTCAAGTGGACCAACGTAAATTTCGAACGACTAAATTTTGGCTTCTGCGAAACGTTGCGATTCTTTGCCGACAATCTGCTGGTGGCAGCGGCCAGTAAAGTTGTTGTTGTCCCATTGAGCGCTGACAAAATGAATATACAGAAAGTAGTATGTAAGAAAATAGTAAAAATGTGTAAAAAAAAAATAAAATAAAGGGGAAAAATAAAGCGAAAAAAGTACGAGTTACCATAGTGAAAAGTCACACAAATATAGTAAAGTTGTAGAAAATATGCAAAAGTCAACATCATTAGCATGAAAGCGAAAGGACATTGTGGCGAAGAGCGAGTAAAAGCCAAAACCAACAAAAAAATATAAAATAAAAAATGGAAAATATAAATTGTATAAAAAGTGGATGGAAATTTGTCGCATTCACATTACAAATAGACTTATTTTATTAAACTAACACCAAAAAAAAAAAAACAGAAAACAAAGTTTGCCGAGGGAGAAACACTAAAAGGAAGCGTAAAACAAATACTGTTGTCAGTGATGCCGCTTGGGTTTTATAAATCAAAAAGGAGCAGCAATTTGTATTAAATGTACCAAGGCGATGTGCAAGTTTCTGCAATTTTTAAGACTGACAATAATTATTTGTAATAACTTTTTATTTATTTTTTGTCTTAATAGCTTAAGAAAGGCTTATAAGCGCTACAAGCGTTTCTAAAAAGTTAAAAAATATCAGAATGTTCAAATGGCAATGTAAGCAATCGGAAAAGAAAACTTTGGAAAAGTAAAGAAATTTTTGCGTTGAAATCATAGAATTACAAAAAGCGAAGCTGCTGATAACAAACCCATCTCATTGGAGTCCTGATTAACTTAGCTCAAATAAATCGTCGCTTAACCCTAGAAAGATAACGCTATTTTATACCACTGAAAAGATAACGTTGCGTAACTTCTTTTAAAGAATATAAAAATGTAAAAAAAGTTTTTATAATTATTCGATGTCTCACTGTGACCAGTTATTTCATTCATTTTCAGTCTTATTAGGTACGCATGACGACATAAGGACCGACTGAGCAAGCTATGCGCTTGAAGTTGCGTCGAATACAAATGAAAGTCTCGTCAACGTATCGTTATCTTACTAGGGTTAAGTTCATTTAGGTGCGAGTTTTGTGTTGAATATAATCTTCACAAAAAAGCCAGAACTAACGAAAAGTAGTTGTTTTGAAGGAGAGTAGTTTGGATCCCTTGTAAAGAGATTCTTTGTAGCTGAAACGGTGCTCATCTTTTGACCAACTAAAGACTGTTAACTTCAAGACCATTTGAGAAAGTTTTTTATGCCGTTATATATAGATGTGGGTGACCTTCGTTTAAAACAAGATGGTGCTACATGCCATACAATTAACGAAACAAACAATTAATTGAAGGAAACTTTTAACTCGCGTCGTGGCTATTAGGCGTGGGTTCCAAGATCGTGCGATTTAACACCGAACTTCTCTTCCTTTTATGTCTGTAATTCAAACTACTAAAGGCTTATAAATTTTGTTTGAAGCATTTTCATGTTTTAAGACATTATGTAGACATTACCTGCCTGGGTAGAACTAGAAATTTGCCCAACATTTTTATTATTCTAGTTTAAATTATATTTTTAAATATTAAGCACCAGTGGAATTTAGTTTATAGAAAGTGCTACTTTCAATTTCTTAAGAGAAAATTGTGGCAATTTTGGCGTTAAAATTATACTACCTTGGTTGAATATAAATCGGCTTGGCAGCATCCTTCAAACTTTCTATTAACACACACTGGGCGCAAAGCCCTTGAAACTAACAAATTTACTGTTTCAAAAATTCGAAAAAATCCTAAAACAGCAACAAACTTGCTCATATCTATCAGAAATACAATTGCTTTTAAATAATCTACCACGCTGCGCCGTAAACTTTTGTTAAAAAATAAAGTTATGCGAGATTTAGGCAAATGGCTCAAATATTTATATATGAATATAAAAATTTATTTGCAAAGGCACGAAGCACGAGCGCACTTTGACAAGTCGATAGTACTGCAATATTTTTTTTTGGTAATTTAGGTATGATACAGTTAGCCTAGGGTTACATCTCTGAAATTTGGCATAGAAATTTGGCATACTACTAAAGCATATAGCTGCCATATAAATTGATCAATCAAAATCAAGATAAAGAACTTTTATGCTATAAAAACTGCACCTGTGAAGCATATTACAGCTGCGGTGCAGCCATAAACAAAATTATTATAATCTCAATTGATTACATTTTAAACTCAAAACCTCAAAAATGCACAGACTTATCCAACTGCACTGTCATCTATATATCTATATATGCTATAGTATCTGCATAAACGTTAATTTAATACGCTTTACGTGCAAACACCAAAGTGAAATAAAGACAAACACAACGTAAAATAAACTGGCAAATGAAAAAAGTACAAGAATAATAAAACAAATATACGCACACAAGCACATGCCTGGCCACACACACATAAATACCTTTAAGTATATATACACTCACCAATTTGTTCGACATTCGCCAAAAAGCCACCGGTGCAAGCGGCGTTAACGCTGCCCGCCACCGTATTGTTGTTGCTGTTGTTGCTTTGCCCGTTGGCGGACGCTGGCACATCATTCGCTTCGCCCGCATAAAACTCTAGCAACAATTGCGCGCCACTCGATTCTATTTGTGTTGGCATATTTAAATTACTTCCGCCGTTCAATTCAATGAGCAACGTCGATGAGAGCGATGGACCGTCACGTACTTTGATGTACTGCGCCGGACAAGGCAAGCGCAAAAAGTTCAAACTCAGCGCAATATTCTGTTCGCCATCCACCTGTAACGAGAGAGAGAGAGTAGCGAAAACATGAAATCGTAAAACTTTGGCGTTCGAAAAACTAAAAATAAATAAATAAAAAATATACCGTTAATAAAACACACACATTGTTGAATGTGTGCGCCTGTGTATGCGTCGGTGAATAGCAAACGCAAGTATATTATTTAGTGGGTGTATGAAATATGGCCCCATATGCAACCGAACAGTAAGCTCCTCCTACCATCGACCTACTAGACTGTTAGTTTTAGACGCTCGCTGCGTGCCTAGCCAGACCTCAGTTGCCCATATGGGCGATTTGCCTTGCATACTCGGATGTGTGCTTTTTGTTGTAATAAGTTACCGGATGTGCTTTTGGGTGTGTGTATATATCCGTTGTTGCATATGAAATTCGACGTGCTTGTTTGTTTTTGTAGTATTTTTGTTTCCTTGCTAAGTATCAAGTTGGAGTTGTTTTACGGTTGTTCACTTCATTAAAAATGCATGCGGCTGTTGGTAGCCGGCCATTTGTATGCAAAACTCTGCTATTAACTAACAACAACAGCAATAATTCAACTAAAAACTGTAATAATAAATAGCAGACATTTGTGGATGTAGGGTTGCTATTTTTATGGCGGATTAGTGTAGATTGGATGTAAGTGAAAGTTTTTGGGAGAAATCGTTTCAAAGGAAAAAATCGTGAATATTTTTTTTAATAATGGTTGATACTGATAAATATGTATGCATTAAAAAGTCAGTTCAAAAAAATGCATATATGCAGAGCTCTCTCTAGAATTGTCTGATTAATTCGAAATCATCAAGTTGAGGAAAAATCACATACTCTGTGTGAGTAACGTGAAAGGAAAAACGGACAAAACAACGTTACGGGTTCAACCTTCACAAAAAATAGTTTTTCATCAACTTTATTTTAATTGGTCAGCTTATGTGGCAGCTATATGCTATACTTGTAGTGGTCCGATATCGACAGTTCCGAAATATGAGCAGTTCCTTGAGAAAAAAAAGGTCGTTTGCAAAATTTCAGATTGATAACTCAAAAAACTGAGGGACTAGTTCACGTATTTATAGACAGACGGACAGACAAACGTATAGGTGTAAATCGACTTAGCTCGTCATATAAACTTGTATATTATATAGGCTGCCCTTGTGGGTGTTACAAACATCGCGGTCTTAAAAAGAAATGACAAAGCTACTGTAAAATATCATTACTCTCTTGTTGTATTGGGATTGAGAAAGAAGAGCTCTAATATTGTTTCAAAAAACTGGAATATTGATCTGAACAAGAACAAGATTATGACTACATGGCCTTACATTAATTTTTTTTAGAACATAAAACTCCACATCTATAAATACCAAATATTTTCTGGGCATGAATGCCTATAGTAAATTTCATATTTCATAGTCTGAATATAATCTGAATATAGATTAGTGTAAAATGAGTGTTCGTTAACGATTTCTATATTATATATCTAATATTTAAGAGTATAAATATCAACATTTCAATAATGACAACGATAATATTAACCTCCTGCAACTCTAGTTTCAGGCTAGCAGACTACTGCAGAGCCTTTCAAGTAGAGGTAGCTACCATCACATTAGCAGTAGATGTACTACTCTGAGTTGTACCCTCCGAGTGCTAAGAGACAAAACTGATCTAGAGCTGACTGTGCGTTCAAACTTAGTAAATAAGCATTCAATTCATCTAGGTGTATGCTAATAATCAGCCAGCTATTTTATTATCAGATTTCTTTGGCAGCCTGGTCATATCGAAATCGCTGGAAATTGCAAAGCTGGCGATCACACACAAGGTACACTTTTGATCAAATTTCTTTAGACTGGGAACGGCAGCGAAGCTCTCCGTTTTGTGTGGTATGTCTATTCCACCATTTGGTCCTAGATTATTTTTGTCGCAATTATAGGAACTCTAATTAGATACTGTCGGATTAGTATACATACGAGGAGCCTAGGAATTTTGTCGGATGAGCATTAACAGAGTTGTATGGAACGACGAACAGTTAGACACAGAGGTTAATCCGTGTGTAAGAGTTCCCACACCAGCCCGCAGTAATGATCAAAAATTAAGGGTAAATATGGACCATACATTTAAAAAACGACTACTTGTGTCCATTTATAAAAAATAAACAGTTTTTCTGCCACATACTAAGCTTTTATACCTTAAACAGGGTATGTAAAGTTTGCCACGAAGTTTTTAGCACCCAGAAGGAAAAGTCGGAGAACTTATAAAATATTTAAATAAATGATCAGCGAGACTTGCTGAGTCGATTTAACCATATACGTTTGTATATATGCGGACTAGTCTCTCAGTTTTTGAGATATCGATCTGAAATCCTGTACACATTCTTTCATCTTTAAGAAGCTGCACATTCGTCGAAACCGCCAATATCGGTCTACTATAGAATATAGCTGCCCTACAAACTGAACGAAACAAACCAAAAAAGTCCTTGCATGGAAAACTTTTTTATTTAAGAAATTATTTTTACCAAATTTGGCATCGTTAGTTGTTTAAAATAACCCTACAATCTCCGAACGTTTTGTTGAGATCGGATCAATATAGCATATAGCTGTCATACAATCCATTATTTTATTTGTTAAGGGCATCCGGTTCAACCAAAGTTAAAGTTTATTCTTGTTTTGACGCGCATCACCATTTAAAAAATTAAAACAAAATTTTTTATTTATGATTCTAAACTACAGAAGTAACGATAATAAGTTCAAAATTTGTGCAAATAATTCACGTGAAAGCTACCTCTTATAATAATTCACAGTGAACTAGTGTTTTGGCATGATCAATATTATTGCACTAAAACACCGCGCACACGAGCATTCAGACGCAGATATCTACAATTACAAACGCAACTGCGGTGTGGTGTCCAATATGTGATTATGTTGCGGTCGCACTACCAAAGCTTTCTGTGTGAGTGTGTGTTTGTGTGCTTTAGAAGTGTCAGTAATTTGATTGAATACAGTGTTTGCATAGAAAAATTTATTGCAACAACAAGAAGAAAAGTAACAGCAATAAATTCTGTCAGTGCAAATGCATTTATCATAGTATTAGTTACATACTTACATGTATATGTGTATGTGTATATTTGAGATATCGCTTTTGATTTGCTGGCAAAGCCACACATTTATTTGCGTATTAATTTTGCAGAGAGACACACTCACAATTCGCTAGCATGAATGGCATGTACGAGTATATATACAATGTATATGGATGTATGTATATTTACTAGTTCACATACATACTTCTCTAGTTATTGCGTTGATTACAAATTTCAGTTTTCATAATTTATTTACTGTCTCTCACTCATTTGATTTATCGACACACTTTATGCAAGCGCATACATAGAAAATAGCTGCACACACACATTCACATACATACATGAACAAAAAAATTTATAACATTTTCTGTTGTATTTTTGCCTATAAAAAGGGAAAATAATATATATATCAATAATCTAGCTATAATATCTTTCACAGGTGCATTTCTTATTGCATAATAGAGCATAAAAAGATTTTTATCTTGTTTTTGGTCGGTCAGTTTATATGGCAGCTACATATATGCTATAAGAATCTAATATGCATAATATATTCAAAGATTGTAGCGTTATCTTAGGCAAATATCTATGCCAAATTTCATGAAGATATCTTGTCAAATAAACAATTTTTCTATACAAGGAATTTATTTGGATCGGTCAGTTTACAGGGCAGCTACATATATGCTATAATAATCTAATCTGGTCAATTGCTTCAAAAAATATAGAGGTGTCATAGGCAGTAATCTGAAACAAATTTTGTGAAGATATATTATCAAATAAGAAAAGTTTGCCATACAAAGACTTTAGGACTATATTACTAAATATATGCTATAGTCTTACGATATCCACGATTTCAACAAACGAGCTGCTTCTTGTAGAGAAAAGAGCGTGCGCAAAATTTCAGACCGATAGCTTTAAGTTTAAGGGACTAACTAATTCGGGTATATCGACTTAGCTCGGATCATTTATACTTATATATATGTATATACTTTATAAAGTCACGAAGGTTTCCTTCTGTGTATTACAACCTTTTTACTTAACTTAATATATCCTGTTGAGGGTATAAATATACCAACATACATAAATATGAAATGTTGAGAAGCCTCTATTATCAAAGTGTTGAACTTTGTGCACAAAATAATGCACAGCAAGTCTTATTTGCCACCAACACACATGCATAAGCGCGCATATACAAGCATATGCATGAATATTTGCAAATAGCTTGGTATATTACTCACAAGTTTTACAAAAGTTTTTTCACACTAAAGTTTTTAAAAAAAAAAGTTTCGAAACACAAAACACGAGCAGCAAAGTGTGTAAGCTGGTTAAGAGAGTATTAAAATGTGAAAGAAGAAGCAGCAGCAGTGGAGGTAGAAGAAGAAAGTGTAAAACATGTAGCAACTAAGATGAAGTGTTGTGCAAATCTTTGAAACAGAATCACACACATGTGCTGACTGAACATTTGCAGCGCGCGGCAAAATTCAAAAAGGAAAAACATCATGAAAATGGATGAAAAAGGTCAACTTATGACTTGCCCACAAGCCACAAAATGACAGCAAAATAAAAAGTCAGAAAACCAGCAAAAAGCAATAATAATAAACCAGAAATACATACTGTATGCTGTCAAAACAAATTTGACATATAAAATATTGTATGTTTACACAGATTTTACAAATTCAACAAGTGGCCTTGGCGATAACAACCCGGGGTCAGGTGACTTTTATAATATTTAACTATTTGTGCGTGTATATACAAATACATAGCGTCATTTATGTGGTAGATATGAGCAGGTGAAAGTGTTGACAAGAGGTTTGAAAATGTAAAGCAAGTGTATACACTAGGCTGGGTCAAAAAAGATCTTTTCTTTTTTTTCACACTTTACGCTCTGAAAAATTGGTTGGTAGACACCACATAACAATTCTCTCCATTTATAAGCTCTTAATATCA